ACATATATGTAATAGATCTCTGTAAATTTCTTTCTTTAGGTCAATGTTTGACCCCGACAATGTCCAGTTTCTGTGTTTGGACGACCATTTTGTTGGAGGATGATCGCTTCAAGCTCTGCGGCTGTTGCTTGCCCCCGCCACCCTTGCCCGACGTGGATGCGCTGAAGGGCTTGGACAGCTTGGTGACTGAGCCGAAAAGTGATGGAAGATTCGTCTTGGAGAGCACGGACGAGGGTCCTCTGTTGAATCATGTTGAACCCTTGACTGACTAGTACGACGAAAGTAGGAAATGAGTGAAGTTTCGCCTCCCACACTAGAGATTGCTGAAGGGATCCTCCAGCATCCAGCCACCCTCACACCAAAAATGCCCCATCGTCCGCTCGTCTGTTGGGATGGAGCACTGGAACTGGCTTATGGATTTCCACAAAGGGCATTGATGTAGTACATAATGTGTTACAAAGGCAATGTTATATATATATAATATATATATATATATGTGTTATATGTATATTCAATGGATGGAAGCGAAACGATCTGCGAAGCGTAGGCATTCCAGCAGTGTATAGGCCCTTTACCTTTGAACAATTTGCGTCACGAGATACTCGGTCTTCATGAACTGCGCGCCTGCAGACGTTCTAAAAAATTGCTGGGCGGGTCTGACGGGCGCTACCGCCACTGTATGTCATATGTATGTCTGACATTTGTGAGTGAGTTCATGTATCATCAAGGTTTTTCCTGCAAGCTGCAGATGTTAGACAAATGCTGCAAACAGATTTTTCATGTATAATTTGTTGTTTTTTTCCTGAAAGCTGTAAGTGCAACACGACCGTCTCCCATGTTCACACCGAAGAAGAATTAAACCTCCACGGAGGTGGTCATCTACTGGGCCGTGGCAGTCGGAGGCATGTCGGATGGCTTTCACACGTTTTGATCAAGACGTGAATCACATGGCTGTAGCGGAACGTTCTGGACACATGATGTGTGCAGGAACATGGTGAATGGGCCATGGGCCATCCGTGTCCATGTGATTTGGGTGGTCATATGAATGTAAGAGAGGAAAAGGAGGAGACTGGGTGTCGATTCTGTGTTGGGACATACCCAGATCTGAGACGATACAAAGTCTGGAGGTCACGTTTTGTTCAAGGCGTTACACAAATTGTAATTAGTATGTTTCCCTCCAGCTATCACTCCATTTCTTTGCTTCTCAAAGCACCTTTGCTGATTGTATGCATGCTGCGAGGCGCGGGCTTGTTAGTGGCCTTTGCTTCAGGATATTGGATCCACCACCAGAGCAAGAAGAAAAAGCTCAGCCAGGCTCAGACAGAGTTGAGTCCTCGCTGCCTAGGTTGTCCTGAAACCTCAACCAGCCCCACCTCTAGGAGAACAGTTGAAGTTGGGATGCAAAAAGCCGATTACCCCAGTTCACGGCCACACATATTTCACCAATTGCCCCCATGTCACATGTTGACAAAGCTTAGGAATGATTTGAATGAATGAACCATGCTTCACATCCCAGACAGGAGGGTTCAGAAGCCACCCTGCTGGCCGCTGAAGATGGATATTTGGATCACTTGAGGTCAGACTGGACATTGATTCAGGCCTTCCCCACAAGCTCTCCTCACCTTTGCCCAGCTTTTGTCTCTTTTTGCAACAGACAAACCAAACAGCTGTGGAAGTGGATCAGCCAACCATGTGTGGACCGGTCACCAGGTGGCCCCGGCAGCCACGGGCGAGGTGGAGGACCGCCACGGGCGGAATTGAAAGGTCGGAGCGGGGGAGGGGTCAACTGCAGCGGTTGGTGTGAGCTTGGCATGAAAAGCATCCAATGAGAAAATAGGACGAACCGGACAAAATCATACAAAATCAACCCGACAGAGATGTGATTCTGTTATTCCGTGTCTCTTTTCCTTTTGGCATCATAAATCATATTATCATCCAAATGATCCAAATCATAGTACTCTAGTTCTCTCATTTATGTACAGTAAGTCTTGTTTAAAGTAATTATTCAGTATGTTGTTGGTCCCACCCAAGTATCTCAATATAGTTTTCGGAAAAACGCTATACGGATATATATATATATATATGTATGTATCCTATGCTTTTGAAGTGGAACCTTCCCAGGCCGAAAACAATCACACTCCAGATTTTCTGCCGAGAACTCCTTCGAGGATCAGTTGGCGCTCCCGGAGAACTCCTTCGACAACAATCAGCTTGCTCTCAGGGATGCTGCTGACACTCTGGCGGAGCCGCCAGATCCCAACATGGATGCTATGGTCAGACGTCCAAGCATGGATGGGCGGCAGTCATCACAGATCTCGCTGGCCCAATCGTGGCTCGGCAGTCACATCAAATGGTTTGGCAGGTAGATTGGGGAGAACATACATGAAATTCAGGTGTTGGCAGTGTTGGCCATTGACAAACTTGTTTGCAAGATGTTCACAAGCTACCTCGTTTTGGCCAACATAGTCTGATGTTTAACTTGTGCGCCTTCTTTCTGGAAACTGGTGGCAGGCACAAGGGAGTAGCACGATAGCACGCAACTTAATGATAGAATGATTAATCATGATCAATTGCTGGCAACTCCTTGCTGCATCATGCAGTATCCAGTTGGTTAGTAGGCTGTAGCCCTGTGCAACCTGGCATTTCACCCGAACTCCTTGCCATGTCCTCATGCGGACCAGCGCTTTCTTAAGAGGTTTGAGGTTCCCTCTCAGGATTCATGGAATGATGCATCTCTGTGAATCAAGTTGGGATCTCCAAGTTCTCAACGGGCAATTTGGAACACGTTGATGCTTTCCTGGCACTCGCTTCCTTCACCGCCTTTGTTCACCGCTGAAGCTGTCGAAGGAAGTTTACAGTACCATTTGAACATCGATGTTCACCGCAAGTTTCAGGCGAACTTTTTTTTTGAACAGCCATGCATATGTAACAGCCCTGCATATGTGGGGGCATTGTCGATTTTCTTGCACCAGCTTGGAAATCATGTTTCTAGAACCCTCCGGGCCCTCCAGCAAGTGAATATTACTAAATATGATTGTCAAACAAACATACTTTAAAAAGACCTACCAAGCGTTCCCGGTCGTTGCTGATACGGCATCCATATCACCTTCCAAGGCTGCCGTCGGAAGCACCAAGACCACAGATCTTGAAGCCCAGGAGGGATGGCACCAACAAGGACTGGACGTTCGGGATTGTTGGACGATCAGTGACCGGAAGGCCATCTAAAACGCTTAAATCTACCCCCTGCCTGTCTGCAGTCATGTGTCATGTTCCCTGCCATGTCAGTGGCTGTTTGAGAACAGGACGGAGATTTCACAGTGTTTGGGCCACTTAGAGTGACTACTATACCTTTCCAGTGATCAAGAACAAGTGCATGCCATGAATCAACAGAAAGAATTCGTTCAAACAACAACTTACATGTACTTTGATTGCTCCTCATGCAGACAGTGGATCCAATGGTTCCCAATCAGCCTTTGAGGCCTCGAGACGAGGGAAATGGGTCGGGCTCACCAGTTTAGACGAATGTGTTGTCATCGTTTCCGGTGCTTCCAACAGCTCATGAGCTGCCAAGTCCGCCAAGTGTAGGAAGTCGGCGGAGGAAATGAAGAACCCACTCCAGCGAGGAAAGCCGGAAAGCTTGCTATCTAGGCCAATTTCCTACCATTTGTGCACAGTGTTTTTTCTCTAAATATGGCTGGGATACTGGGTGTTCGAAGAGTTGTTCTGAGTCAAAAGAGGAAGCCTCGTCCTGCTTTCTGGCACATGTTTCGCATCGCCGCATATCTCCAGGAGTGGCAATATTGGTGATTCGGTCGCCGGTTTTCGCACGCTGGGCTCTGCCAAATTCTGCCAGACAGGTTTTGGACGGTGAAAGGATCGGGTATGAAGGTAAATGTCAAACAAAAAGAAACACTATGTTTTCAGGATGCAGGTGATCTGCTAGAAAGTGCAAGAAATTCATTGGCAGATGCCATAAATATATGCACAGTCCACTGCATGTGACAGTTTCACTGCAATCGAATTCCAAGCGTTCTAGCGCGCGAAGGGCACATAGCCATCGCCCCAAAGGGACATTGGCTATTGGCAGTGGTGAACCACTGCATACAAAGAAACGTGCAAGTTGATTCAAAGAATGAGCATGACACCCAATAGTGTATGATCCTTTTGTTCCTGGATCCTTTAGCATGTCAGGATATAAGCCCCGCCATACTACTGTAAGGCAGTGTAAATGTTGAACTTCACACACCCAAAGAACGTCAAGAACTATCCGCAAAACTTCCGCAAAAAAAAAACAAACAAACACGACAATCCCGCACATTCCAACAAAAAGACGTACAGTATTGTTTCAACCCCTTGTATGGATCAGTTTGTTCTGATTTGTTGTCATCAGAGCACATTTATATAAGAACTGCTGCAGATGCTGGTGTTTCTTGAGACACGACCGTTTGTTCTCTCTACAACCAGCTCTCCATTCTGCGTGTGGCTGAAGCTGCTCCAGCTCAGATCTCCACAGGGAGTTGTGACTGGAGAAACAAGAAAGGGGGACATATGGGCGGAAGCACATCACCAAATGTGACCAAATCAATCCAAATCATATTTCAGAAAAGCTTGCAACGTCACCAAGGCAGTATTTTTCTTTTCTTGGCTGGACTGCTTGTTCGATTTGACTTCTAGAAAAGGCGCTTAGGACGGACTCTTGTCAATGAGAAGCTTAGGGTTGCAAATGGAGCACAGCAGAAAGAGGGTGCAAATGCGTTCCTCCAGAATCTCAGAGTCGAACATGAAGGAACAGACAAACGGGAACAGACATGCTGCAGGTGTGACATGTTCAGCAGCATATTCAGGATATATCCTCCTCCCAACAGGAGGCAGAAAACAAGGGGAAAGACAGGAACATGTGAGTTTCTCCCCCCAGAACATGGACACTGGTGAAGTTCACAGCTTCAGAGGGAAAATCAAGAAACCTCATGAACCCCCTATGAAAACCCTGGCCCTGGCCATTGAAATCTAGACCTCAGTCATCCCCAGACACAAGCTGATGCCGCCGATCCATGGCCTTCGCCCGGCTCTTCGAGCACCCAGCCGGCACCACCGCTGCCCGGGACGGGTGCAGTTCCGTGCGCAGTGGAACCTGCAAACCTGCGAGTCTAACGCGGGGAAGCAGTGTATCGAGTCTCATGGGGAACACATCTCAAAGATCAGAAGTTGAGGGAACATGCTTCAAATAATGTTTGCCATGGCTTTCTGAAGCAAACCGGTAAACCTTGTAAACCGATCCGGCCAGTGTTCACGTCGACGATCATCTTCGATCCCTGGTACTGCAGGAGATTGTCCGCGAGGACGAGAACACTCTTTTGGTGCAAGGCTTCAGGCACACGCGGCCGGGCCGGTGGCGTAGGGTATATAAGCCGAAATCAAACATCGAAGCAGATCGACCCGAATCACAGGTACCAGTGGATTGTTCTGTGTGGTCAACCAGTGGATCTGTGCAGCGTCCAGCTGGGTGATTTAACATGATTTAACCATTCACGACTTCACGAGTATCGCAGCTCAAAGGCGAAATGCTGAGAGCCCTGAGAGCCTGAGATGTCGAGGAAGCTTGGCAGATGTCATACTTGGGGAGCCAGGAAACATAAGGGAACCATTTGTTCGCGCCTAATGTATCCGACATAGATATTTCGTTTGTTCTTATGATCGCTGACCAGGGAGAGCCACTGTAAAACTTGGGAGAGCGGATAGCCCAGCATGACCCTGAACTACTGTCCATCTTGAGTGGAATACTTGGACATGACATAGCTGCATAGCTGGACCATCACTGATGCCTCTGTGATCTCTGTGTTTGAGTCCAGTGTGCGGAGTGATTACTTTGTTCCACACAGTGTTGCCTCTTGTGATGCTATGGTTGTAGCGAGCCATCGTGAATTGCAATCTGCAAGCTTGGGAGCGAGACAGCTTTCAAATTCAGACGTTTGAAAGGAAGATGGACGGTTTGCAAAAGAACAATGGGAAGGCAGAGATTGCAGAGATAGAGTTCCAGAAAGAAATCGTGCCCCGAAAGATTCGGATGAAGAAGCCTCCAAGGAGTTACTTCCTGGCGACCAACCAATGCTTGAACAAATGCTAAGACTTTAAGAGAAAGGATGAGAAGGTTGATTCTCTCGGCACTGAAAATCACTGATCTTAGGACTGCTACCCTGCCGGCCGTGGGCAATGGTCTCGATGGCAGGTGTTTTGCAACTTGGATGGGTGGGGAGGCGGCTGATCTCGGACGGGCCACTCATACTAATAAATACGATGAGCCCAGCAGCATAGCCAAGTGGATCAACAGGGTGTATTTGGTGTCAGAGTGTGTGTATCTCAGTATTTTTTCAACTCAGGGCACAGCCAATGAAGTAGGACCGGTGCTCATTGTTTGTTTACTTTGTTATGAAACAAACACGGTGTCGAATTCTTTCATATGAGTCTCTGGTAGTGTGTTTGTTTAAATGAGGGCTTCAACCAATGAGTTTCAGGGGATTCGACGTCAGCTTCCAATCAGATCAGTCTGTGGCGTTTCACCCGTAGGCAAAGGCTGAGTCCATTCGTGTCCATTCACATCCAGAACCCGGCCCTACAACTCCCTGAAATGATTATTGAAGTGGAAAACCACCAGGGACCATGTAGAACAGAGCAAAATGCTGTTTCCAGGGACATCCAGGGACCATGTTCCACTTCCGATTTCAGGGAGTGTTACCATTTCCGACCCTTGGTCCAACGCCGTGACGTCCACTGCCTGGCCTCCCACGGCCTCCCATGGCCGAGGCTCCTCGGAGTCCTTTGGCGATCGCATCGATCGGGGGACTTTCAGGCGCGTTCGTCATCGGCGAAGTCGGCGACGGAGCGAAGAGTTATATAGCCCCCACAAAGCGGTGGCAGAGGTCTCGGGTTTGGAGCTTCTTTGTCCCCAACTGCAACAAAAACATCTTTGTAGTTTATATAGTCTATTTAGTCATCTCAGAAGCAGATCCAATGTCTTTGCAGTGAATATGCATATCACTGTACTTCAATACTTCAGGAGTTGGTGGACAGACAAGCCAACGATTGCCTCTCAAAATGCGGGGATTCCCGAAAAAAGCATCTCAAAATCCAATAGGTGTCATGCATGTAACTAAAAGTAGAAGTTTTGGGGAGCTTCCTGGCTTGACACACACAGCTTCGCGGTTGGGTGAAGGCATGGACCGTTCAATGTTCAATGCAAAGACAACATAAAGCTCCTGTGGAACCAGGATGGTGCTGGAGATCCATGGGGTGCTGTAGATCCCTGGTGAGAGCTCACACGTCAGCATCAGACCAGCTAGATTGTACACGAGAAACAAAGAGAGGCTCAATGTTCCTGCCTGGACTTCATGATGCCATATTGACAGAACATCCTTTCAAGAAGTTTGGAAGATGCGTTTGGTTTCCACGGCTGCACATTGCTGGTTTGGTTCGCACTTGTTGTACAATGATGTTTGTCAGGATAGACTGTAAGCGTATCTATCCAAAGCTAGACGAAAGATCAAATCCTCACTTCACCGCACCCAGCTGTATGGAAAGGTCAAATCCTGGTCAACTTGGCTCGCACAGGTCTTTACTTTTCAGGATTGGGAAGAAGAGCTGCCCAAGTGTAGCAAGCCAGCAGTGCCGTCGGGAGCCGGTCTCGTGGGGTCGACTTGGGGGTTGGCGTTCGTCCAACCGCCCAAAGCGGAGGCAGGCCGAAGTCGTAAGACTGGGTGAGACCTCCTCAATCCATGCTGGCATGTCTCATTGAGTCCATGGAGATTGTAAAATTTATGATATCTTCCCACTGCCACAGCATGCTCAAACCAGAAATATCTTGAACCCCACGGTGGACGGTGCTTCCAGACTCCGCTGCTCTCTCGGATCCGTGAAGATCCCGAAGCTACGCCCATGCGACCGATCGGACTGATGCACCGACCAGCGGACATCCAAACGGGCCCCACTATGCCTTGGACGTCTTGAACGTCTTGGGCACCAGACCTCCCCGGCAAAGGGAGGAGGGAACCGATCCTTCTCCACTTCTACCCGATTCGAGCCGCGCAAGTCATTGAATGAAACAAGTAACCAAAGTTGTAACCAAACAAGCGTGTTGGTTTCTGTTCTTCTTCATCCAAGCCAAGCTGTAGAGAAACACTGAGCCCATTGCCAAGCCGCCAAGTGTTGATAGCGCATTCTGCGACTGTTTTTTTCAATTACATCTCTCTATACCTCCGATGGTTCTCGGGTGAAGTTGATATACCAGGACTGCAGTCGTTCCACCATCAGAGTCTGAGGCGAAGATTTCCCGAAGCTGGACTTCCTTTGGGCCGCTCGGCCAAAAGAACGTGAAATCGCACGCATTTGGGAGGCGTTGGAGGTGTTCCACCCAGAGTGGTTCACTGTCAGAGTCTCTTCAGCTCAGTTGAATCCACAAGAAAGCCAAGAAGATAAGGAGGCGCCACCACCTCGCATCGCCCATCATCGCCCTGTTCTCCAAAATCCATCCAAATCCCAAGGTTCAAGTCCCAACCGAACAAAGCATCGATATTTCGCAAGGGTAAGAGAGAGAGAGAGAGGGACACACACTTAGATTGATGATCGCAAGATCTAAATCAGTTGACGAAGTTCCACTTTACTGCAGGTAGACCTTTACACTCAATTAGACCTTGGCTGAAGGAACGGAAAGGTGAAGGAGTCCGGAAACCAGAATTGTTGAACATCGCTCATTAGTCCTTTACAATATGTTTAAAATTCCTGCAGGTACGTCCAGAAAGCGTCCTTTCTGGATATCACGGCCAAACTATCACTGTCTTCGTTGGGCAGTGAGTGATAGTGGTCCACTGCCCCCCCTGCAAACCTCATGAAATCCACCGAAGGTGAATTAGTCTATGCAAGCTCCTTAGAAACAGGTGTTGAGAATTAGTCTATGCAAGCTCCTTAGAAACAGGTGTGGACACACTCTGACATTGGTTTTCAGTTAACTCAATTCCCAGGAAAAATGGCGATGGAACGGAAGGGTGGCAGAGTCCGTGGAAAAGTATTGTTTAACAACTGTTGCGCAAAACGCTCAAGTGAAAGCGGCGATCAGCGGCTGCAGAGCGGAGGGAAACCTGTTTGGGGGAAGGTAGCATGAAAACCACCATGAATCAAATCGAAAGTGGAAAAGCTTGAGCAACAGTTTCCGGTGCAGGTACGTCAGCAAGCGTCCTTGCTGATATCAGCACAACCTGAAGAGCGTCTTTGTTAGATGCCCTCTCTTCAGGTGTGGGGCATCCCCCTGCGTTGAATGGGGTGAACAGGTAACGAAACTCTTAGTTACAGAGGTTGACACACACACAGAGTGCCGATTCGGCGCTCTGGGGGAACTTACTAGCCACCTAAAAAGCCTTAGAAAGAAAGAAAAGAAAGACAGAAAGGAAAACGCGAAGGCAAGAAAGAAAGGTAGGTGTAGTTACGAGGCCCACTAGTTACGAAGCCTGCTAGTTACTGACTACTTCGCCGTATGAATCAGATGCACTAGTTAGCGAGCGGGACATTCGTCTTAAACCGTCCGGGTAGCTAGGAGTAGAAAAGGAGAAGCAGAAGGAAAGGTACCGACACACAAGTGTGCCGAGTACCATTTCCTTCTGTTACCCTAAATAGCGGGTGGGATAGAGACACGAATTCGGTTGCAAGGTGGGGGGGGTGCGTGGAAGTGCAAGTGATAAACAAAAGTGGACATGTTCGGATCAAAGCAGGTGGAAATTCCGTGAAGCCCGGCGGCGTAAGTTGCAGGAAATACAGTGTTGAAACCAAATCAGTTAAGAGAATCCAAAGCATGGTGCAAACGGTGGAGTCTGTTACACGAATTCCGGAGTGAAAACGGCGCTCCTTGCGGAGGATCGCACCCAGCACCCAAGTGGGACGACTGAGCGAGTCACACTCTGACATTGGTTTTCAGTTAACTCAATTCCCAGGAAAAATGGCGATGGAACGGAAGGGTGGCAGAGTCCGTGGAAAAGTATTGTTTAACAACTGTTGCGCAAAACGCTCAAGTGAAAGCGGCGATCAGCGGCTGCAGAGCGGAGGGAAACCTGTTTGGGGGAAGGTAGCATGAAAACCACCATGAATCAAATCGAAAGTGGAAAAGCTTGAGCAACAGTTTCCGGTGCAGGTACGTCAGCAAGCGTCCTTGCTGATATCAGCACAACTGAAGAGCGTCTTTGTTAGATGCCCTCTCTTCAGGTGTGGGGCATCCCCCTGCGTTGAATGGGGTGAACAGGTAACGAAACTCTTATTTACAGAGGTTGACACACACACATACAGACACACATACACACACACACACGAACACACACTCACACACAAACGTGCACACGCACTGTTCCAGAATGGCCTCAGGTCGCTCACAGCAATTTGGACCATAAGGGTCCGGACATGGGCGAAGAGGGCCTTGTTTATCGTGTCAGCCACTTGGAATGACCAGGCGCAGCATGGCGCAGCATTGCTGTGCTGCTGTTGTTTTTCTTGGCGAGGTTGAACAGATTGAACGATGCATGTGGCTTTGTGACATGTTTGAATTCCTTTTCATGAACAGTTTGCACTGGTGTTTTCCTTTTGCTTCGAGGAAATTACAAAGGTGAGCACATGGAGATGGTGTCGCCTGGAAAGGATTCTGTGCAGAGTTGATTTGCCATGACATAAGAATTTGATGACTATAAATTGATTATAAACATCCTAGTGAGTGCAGGCAATGTCATGCCATGTTCAGCAGATATCATTGGTTTGCTCTCTACTTGAAGATGCGTTTACCTGTCCTTGCAAATCATCCACCGAGCCGTCATAGATATGGCCCACATGCAGACATGCCTGTCCGAACAACTAACATGGTCCATAAGATTTCGTCTGTCCCTCCCCTGCATAGTGTATATATTATATATGCATGTGTGTTAAATTGAGGTAGGCACATCTACCAAAGACCCTGGAAGAGTACAACTAGACCCAAAACCAAATGGTCGGGAGATGTTAGGAGGGTCTCCTTATGAAACATTGTCATACAAATCCATAGCCCATATATATGCCCATATCTTATCTTGCCGAGGTTCAATGCAGTCGAAAATTTCCAGGCATTCGACAGCAAGATGTTTGGCCTACATGGCTTCTATGGTTCCTTGGAGAGCTGGACAATAGCACGCGCAGCACGCAGCGCTGCTGTTCCGCGCGCACGGCCTTTTCTGATCGACAAACGTTTTGGGACCAGGGAACGTGATCGATGGACGTGAGATTTATTGGGTCTTGTAATTGTCAGTGCCATTCAGCAACCTTCCTTCGAAAGGAAAGAGGTTTCCAAGAAAAATCAGCCCGTGCCTGTGGCCTTCCAAAACACATCAAACCACCAAACATCCTTTCTAATAGGTGTTTTGTATAAATACTTGTTGAAAAGGATTTGGCCCAGTATAAGTTAGGACCCTTTGGGGGAATCCAATCCAGGCGGTCCAGGCGGCGGTCTCCTGATTCCGGCAGAGAGTTGCAGAAAATCCTGATTGCCAAGATAGAACATATCCCAAAAAAGATCCAAAACGCATGTCCCACCAAAGTGGTGAAATGTATCTTCCGTCTACTTCATGATTGCCTTCATCAGGCCATGAGGGTTTTCCAGAAATGACATCGCTAGCAAGCATTGCGTAGGCTCTCTGCGCCTCTGTCCGCACGTGCGCAACTGTTTGCAAAAGGTTCAACAGAAGCTTCTAATTTTACATTTCTTGTCCACCCCTTGGTTGACAGTGTGAGCAGATGTTTTCTGCTTTTCTACTCCAATCTCTTTGGGAACTGGACCAACGCAAAAGCCATGAACCGTGAATGCATTACATATCTACAATTCACCCATGGACAAACAGACAAGCATATAGACTGACAAACACAGAGAGAAGCACAGGAACGAAAAATCAATAGAGAGCTACATTGACACACCTACTACCTAGGCAAAAACAATCGAAACAAGTTTATTGACCAGAAAGTTCAGATGGCCTTCATTCTCTGAGGCTCTTTGAATGTGGTTCCTTGGCACAACATCCAGACCGGCGAAAATTGGAATGGGAGCTTCCAGTATGTATCAAGTGCTGTGGTAGGGGTTCATACTATTGAGGGCATGATGCAGATTGAGCCCTGGTGGCTTTTCAACGTGTGAGCCGGGGTGCAAGCCTGAATCAACAATTTGTGACTCGGCACACAAAACTGGTCAACTCTTAGTGTTCTATGAGATGGAACATCACATTTGTGTTCACTGAAACACCACCGACACTGGTTGTGTGATGTTGTGTGTTGGAAAAAGTTGTTCTTCAAGTAATAATTCCCTGGTGGTCGCGTTTCGGTGATCTTCTTTGTTTCGTTGACAGCGGACAGGGCGCAACGGCCCCAGCAAGGCACGCGCACGGACCGATCGACAAACCGAGGCGGCGCTCTCGAAGGCTCATCTTCGGGTGACCTTCCGGGACCACGAGACGAAGAAGCCCGTCACCATGGAGACTTCGGTGAAAGTGAGGAAGACATGGAATTTTTCAGTGGACCAAACCAGGAACGGACCTGTGCTATATGATGTTTATTGTTGTTTAATTTGCCGGAGTTGTGGGCTCTTGGTGATGGATGAAGGGAATGGGATGGGTGATGAGTGATGAGAAGTGAGTGGAGAAATTTGTGTGGGCCGATTTGAAAGACTTCATCCATGGAGAGGAGGGAATGGGTTTGTTGGTTGTTTGCTTGATCGGCCGTTTGTCTCAGTGAGGGAGGGCTATCAAGAGAAAATTTAAGTGTCATCAAGAAACGACTCAAATGTCACGATTTTTGATTATTTTTATTTTTTAATGTTCACTCTCTCAGTGACGGTTGCCATGGAACCGACAAGAGCCTGTCTCCAGCAATTTTGTTGTTGCTAGGGCCTAGGGGACTGTCAAGGTGGACTGACATGGAGGAGCTCTATATAATTGGCATCCATGAACAGGTTCAAAGCAAGACTAGTAACTTAGTAGCAATTGACCGTGAACCAATGCGAGCTGCTCACTGGCAGTAAGATGTTGTTCATACGAGTCGAGCAGCATGCCGAGCTTGTTGAATGGCTTGCAGGTAATGGACAGCGACGGGGTGTGCTTTGGTTGGTGTGTCACAAAGAGTTTTGAAGGGAGTTGATTGAGATTGCTTTGGTGCCGGAGTGTGTCTGTGTGTTGTGCATTTCAACTATGGTGTTTGCCTCAAAAGCCTGGAGCCTCCAACTTTACAGGGTGTTTTGGCAACCTCATCCTCATCATCCTCATCCTCGTCGTCATCATCATCATCATCATCATCATCATCACCATCACCATCACCATCACCATCACCATCACCATCACCATCATCATCCCCTCACCTTGACATACCGTAACAACATTTACTGACATCTCCTTACTAGGAGCAAATAGCTACGAGATGCTACGAGTAACAAGGGCCTTACCATTGAGGCTTCAGTCAGGCTTTGAGACCTTTTGGCCCGACCCGCCCATGGGCTCGACCAAGTTGAAGAGGGGGGGTCATCTTCGGGCTTCGTGACCTTTACACTATGTTCGAAGCAGAAGAGAATAGTTAAAGGAGCTGGACTGGTGCTATTAGGATCTATTCGGAATCTACTTCCGGGCAATGACCTTCTCCTGTGCTCAGGAAGCTTTTGCCATGACCTTTTACGACATCGATCAGGGCTTTTCCAACACCGGCATCGAGGAGGCCGTTTTCATCCGCGACCGCACACCTTCATGTAGTATTGATTGGTTACGCATGACTTGCATATCTACAACTTTTATCGAGGTTTTCCTGGTCACCTCCCCAAAAGTATCCGCCAAGGCGACTTTTTTTGGAGAAGCCCGGTCATCGGCGGGCTAGCCTCCCCGGCCATCTCAACGCAGGTCACCATCCAGGGTGATTGGACAGTGGCAATCGTGTCGACCCTTTGCTGCAGTCTCCGAAAGCATCCTTTGGCCTCATTTGGGTGTTTTTGCTGGCGACGAAGAGTACGACCCTTGTAATTGCAGACCTTTTTGGGGTGACTCTATCGTACAATATCGCACATGCACTCCCAAAGGGGGTTGCAGCACGTGCATATCTCAACTTCTGAGTGCTCATCACTGATCAGTGAAGCGCAGATCGGTCTGTCCCTTGCTAGGACACAACCGGAAAACTTTGTATCACGGGTTGGAGGGTTGACGATCTTGCAGATGGTGGCCAAACAACTCAGACATGTCTTTCAATACGGCCATGGATCCATTTCCAGACCCATTCCAAAATTGTTTTGGCTTTGCAGTGTAGCGACAATCACCATAATTATCTGAGACTCTTGATGAACAACACCTTGGGCTTTATATAATCAAGAGTCTACATGTCTACATTATATACGCCAAAGAGTACCCGCCCTTAGGACTACCAACATCACCTAGACCGCCACAATCATCACCAAGACCACCGCGACCACCAAGACCACGGAGACCACCAATACCACTAAGGCCACTGGGACCTCCAAGACCATCTCCAACACCCCACATAATAGAGAATGGACCCACACGCCCACCTTAGGACCCACACGGGCGTCCATGTGGAGCATTCGCCGCACTTCCGGCGGATCCAGCCGCATGGCTCGAAGATCTGCTTCTTCGGGGGGAGGGAGGCGTCTGTAAGGATGGGTGAAGGTAAGGATGGATCCATTTCACTGGATTGACCCCTCAAACATATTTGGAAAAGGGTGGCCTTAACACACAAAGATGAGGAAACAACGTTTGTGTTTCTCATCGAACAAGTGAGTCACGGGTGTGCTGAAATGTCCACAGCAGATCCGACCTAGACTGGGATTTGGACATTTAATTGGGACTCTCTGTTAGTCAAACCTTTTGGTCCCCTTAGCTCAGGCTCCAGGTATGATTTCTATCTTTCAGACCAAAGCATCAACTGCCGGGCTTGGCACGTCGATTTTGAGCGGCAGGAACCACGGGACCCAGAGCTAGAAGCTTTGGTCGCACCACCGCTCTCTTCACAAAGCTTTGCTTTAGGGACCCCAGTGAAGTTGTTCAGTTGCAGTTTTGTCATGTTTTGTCTAAGGATGAGAAGAACAAGAGAAATGAACAGAAGGGGCCAGGCCTTATTAAATGGATTCACATGGGCCCCAACTGTAGATTGTCAGGGGGGTGGCGTGATTTCCATTGGTAACCAAGATCTCTTTGGTGTTTTAACCTCAGCAAAACATCGATCTGATCAAACCAAGGTGCTCGGCTTCGTCCGCGTGTGCCCTCGACCCAGGTTCCGATCCACCTTGGCGGGGATGGCCACTTGATGGTTGGAGATGGAGGTCGATGGCTAATTATAGCAGCTTTAAGAGGACGACAGACACAGACTGAATCTGAACACGGTTTGGGAACGTTTTCCATCGATGTTTGATGTTTGTTTTCAGCTTTGATCCGGAAGCCGAGTTTGCCTCACCAACCCTAGGGCCTAGGGAGACTCCGATGCCGATGCCTGGGTGGTGAAAGAGTGAAAAACGGCATTTTGAGGCATTTTGATCATTGTAATTATCATTAATCATCCATCAGGTCCACGCTATGATGCTTTTGGCTTTTCGGTTGAAACAGCTGGACTTAGTGCGACAACGTGATAATGCACATTGGACAATGGTACAAGGGCTGTGTGCCTCCATGGTTACATGTCAAGTTGTTTCATGTTCAATTCCGAATTGCCGCGGGTGGTGGTTTTTGTCGAAAGCGCAAGGGCTGCACGAGTGCTTTTTGGGCTTCCAAGGCGATGGACAGTCCCACAGATGCCAGGATCCTAACTGAAGACCAGTTTCACAAGGTCGTGTGCGCGACCGGGACCGAGTGTTGCGGCAGCGTCAAAGAAGCAAGATCAGGTCTGGCATCATTTAGCCCTGATCAAAACCTAGCAAGTTTTGCTGCACAAGCACTACCGGGGTTGTGGGCCGTTTGATGGTTGGCTTCCCCTGATTCGGTGTGAAACATTCCAGGGCTTCTCCATCTGAAAAGATACTGATTGCTGATATTCCTGAACAGAGGTCACAGGACTATGTAATTAGATGTAATTAGTATAGATGAAGACCCTGTGGTTTTATCTGAGACAGATTCTGATCATCTCTTTCTTTTCCCACTCCTTCCACGGCGCACTGCTCGGCTCACCTTCTTCACTGGAAGCCTTTCTGCTTCCCTTGACTTCCCTCGAATTCCTTCGACTTGGAACCAGGGGACCCAAACCGGGACCGAGAAAGCGCAGGCGGTGACGATTCGCTTCAATGAGGTGGATGCCTTCCAGGCGCTTCATGGCGCTTAAGCTACCAGGTGGAGGCCATCGCTATTAAGTTGGAGGCCATCCCTACTATAGTAGCAAGGGTGCTATTAGGAAAAAGAAGCTGCGAGTGGCTCCTGGCATCGCTACTATGATTGAACCGTCGCTCCGCTCCGCTCGCTCCGCGTCGGCCATTTTTCTTCCGCATTGATCGATTCAGCGCAGACGGAAGTTGGACGCCCGGGAAAGATCCGGAGTGATGTGTTCGCGAAAAAGTATGTTTGTGAAGGAGGTGGAATGGCCGGGCATGACACGATCCGTCAGGATTCAAGGATCAGATTCCTGGAGTGACACTTTGTAAACCCATGGCTATTTGAATTATATAGCTCTCTCATTTTGACACAAGCCCGGCTGGATCCTCTTAAACATGGTACGTTGGGTGTGGCTCGCAACACCCACCCCAAATCCGCAGAGCATCCGTTGGTCGACTGTTGCTTGCATTTTCAGTTTTTGTGTCAACTGTACCCAAGGTAGGTGGGTGGGTGGGTGGGTAGGTAAATAGGTAGGTCGCTAGCTAGGTGGGTAGGTTGCTGCTCCTTACATTGCGCAACCTGTCAAGTTGGTTTGCAAGATGAGCACTTTGGTCTGTCACGTGTTTTGAAAGTCTGAAGGATACATGACATGCGGAGCTTAACAGTCACTTTGCTAATTGCTATCAATCTTCTGGGAAACTCCTCTTGGGTGATACATAGTGATACCAATTGAGAGTTTGTTATATATATAGTAGTTCTTTAGCAAGGTTGGGCCGGGCAACATGTACTGTATTATAAGATTCTCTCTTCGGGTTCATTCTTCAGTCCACTCAGATCAAGTTCGGCACAGGTAAGCCTGGGCGCGGGGGGCCTTAAGATTTGTGAGAAGGAGTGACTGAAGAAGTGCAAGGCGTAAGGTGGTCGATTTTGGTGTGTTGAAGTGTTATGTAGTCAGTTGTCGCGTTGAAGGTGGAGCAGAACACTTCAGAGAGCCTCTCAATAGCTCGATGCATTTTTTCCACAAACTTTTTGGAGAGCTGACTCTGCAAAAGATGAATGACTGTCCCATCTCCTAGAAGAGGCTTAGCACTTCTGCGTTCATATCCCTACTCACCATCCACATGAACGACTAAAGCATGGGGATGGGATGTTCAATGTTCAGGGGGATTCAGGGGCATTCAGTTGCTCCACAGCCACATCCACCGCCGCTTCCGCCACAAAAGTAAAGATTCCACACAGTTGATGGCTTTCAGTTATTTGGTGCGTGGGTCTCTTTGTCTGTTGGTATGTAGGATCTATATATACATCATAGGATCTGTATATAAATGAATAGGATCATATAGAATCTATTTATTTCTATTTATAAATGGCCCAGGGTCTATTGATAGATCCTGCATCCAACAGACAAAGAGCAGCGAAGAGGAGGACTCTGCATTCCCATTCAAGGAGACAGCATTGGCTGGCTCCAGGCTATGAAACTCATATATATATATAATATATATATGTATATATATATATATATTATTGTTATTATTAGTATCTTTATTATTGCTATTATCATTACTATTATATATGTATATATTTGTTGAGTCTTTGAGTTTCCCAAGGTGGCCTCTTGAGGTGTCGCACAAATATGTCTATGATTGTCTCTATATATGTCTTATGTGTGCATGGGATCTCAAACCTTTGGATGATTGAATATTGATCGCCCAGTGATCATTGCACCTTTTGCATTCAGTAGGATTTATGGCACACGTCCCTTGTCACGAAGCACCTTGTCATGTGGCACGGCTGTTGGAGGGTCCCAGGGTCCCGTTCTCTATGAAAGCCTCGGGGTCCCTGAAGATCGGACACCGACACCGAATCGCCGAAGCTCAAACAGTTCCTGGAAGTTGAACCGAAGCGAAAACCAAAAGCAACAGCAAATCCTTCACTGTTGGACAGCTTGACATTCCTTTGTCCTTTCCCGTTCCACCAAGGTCTGACCCGTCTACAGGTGGTCTACCCCCTCCAACCCTCATGAGTTGGCCTTTACCTCGACTGCCATGTCGAGGTACTAAGCACTGGGGCGCATCACCGGTTTTTCGAATTCTTAGGCCAGGCACTCCGCGCCCGCGCGCGCCTACACACGGAAAAACGTGCTGTTATGGCGTTTCAGGCATGGGGAGCTTCCACCGGTTCGTTTGAGGTATGATGAATGATGATTTGATGTTTTTGAGGCCACTGATTGCTGCAAGCCGATGGTCAAAAGGGCCAATTCTGAAACTTGTGAAGCCGATCAAACTCGGGAAAATCTGGACTGACAATGTAATTTGTCCCTGTGTCCTTCTGATTGCTGGATGTCGCCATACTTCAGTTGCCCGAAAACCAGTGAAGCCAAGCTTGTGATTTCAAGTTCATCATCCTCTGGGCAGGACACCCACGACCCAGTGCTTCATTGGGGAATTACTAAGCCACTAAGCCATTGCTCGCCCAGTGCCGTGCTTCCACCGCTTACAGCTTTTGGGCTGTGCGCGAAGCGTCACAGACGTCGGCAGCCTCGCCGATGGCTAGGCGAAGCCTCCCTGTTGTGCGCACACCTGCCCGAGGGCGGGCCAGCACCCGTGGGAAAAGCTTATTGGAATCCCCGCAAGCATGCAACATGGCGGCCGAAGCAAAGCGGTTTTGAATGCAGTGTGTGGCGATCAAACAAAAGGCAGAAGAGTCACATATGATGTCGGAAAGATTGGAAAGGCTATTTACTTGTTGAGAGTGCCATGTCATTGCAGGATCGTTCCATCACAGCTGTGCTGGGCGCACCTACGGGTGCTGAAGCCATCATCAAATCATCGTTGATATTTCTAGGTCGGGGGGGCACTCAGAGTCATGTGCAAAGATACCGACGGTTTTCCCTGTGTAGTGACCCCAAAATAGATCGAACAATTAAGACATGTGAATCCCTCCAAAACAGTCTCTATTATACTTGGGGTTTACTGACTAAGCTTTAGGGTAAACACATGCGGTGAACGAGTGTGTGAGTAAACATGTCATAATTATATATATATATATGTAGATGACATTAGGTATACCTTGTGTTCCATCAGTTTTCCATTCATTTCCCCAGACGGATTCAGCAAGTTTGAGTTTTTTGTTTTGTCCTCATCGTGTGGACCCTGCATCGTGCGTTGCTCCCCTCGGCCCAGGCACCACCTGGGCTGATCCCCAAGAGGCCCTTCGAGGCCCTTCGAGCGGTCAGTTGAGTGGTTGCGGGGTCGGCGTTGAATGAAGCCGTGGATTTGTGTGGAAGCTGGATGAAGTTGGTTGGGTTGGATGTGATTGGAGGGACTTACTTTGGTTCTGCGTTCGAAGAACTAAAGTCCTGAAAGAAAGCATTCACAGCATGGGAGAGTCAGCTAGGAGCCTGGCAAAGATAATAGTTCAGCACCATATTGCAACAGTCTTGGCACAGATGTTTTGCCCAAGTGGCCCATGCAATGCATGTTTGACAAGTGGTTCCCAGCGTGTGTTGGTACGATTTAGTGTAAAATGGTCAACAAGGTATTTCAATAACTTCAGTTACTTTGTGCCTCTTGCCAGGGATATATTGTGCCTTAGAACCCATGTCGTCTTTCTCCACACTCATCACATGACATCACCTACGACATGCTCCGCCGACATCCTGCACAGACGGTGGCTTTGACCCATGAGCAGTGGGTCTTTGAGGGCTGGGAGGCAAGAGATGGACCATCAGACATGGCTGACACTTTGTTGGTTTCTGTTTGATGGCTATCTATCTCGGAGAAACTCTGCGAGACAGATGGCCATCAGAAGCCTCAGCCCAGCTCCCTGCCTGCTGGAGCAGGACAGTCGGTGTTTGATTTGTGATGTGCATGCATTTCATGTTTGATTTGGGTCAGTGGCAGTGTTGAAGATACTAGTACGAAACAGTTTTCTTGTGGCTTTGTAATGCTTGGGTGTGTCAATGGACTTCCACGCTGTTTTGTTTGGCTTCTGTAGTTTACACCTAGCGGCCTAGCGGTGCCGACTGACCGGACCAGGTGAAGGAGGAGGACCCGGTGGTGATTGGCGATGCCGTTCTGCACGGGAAGCATGTGGTAGGCCGCTTGGCGTTTGCTGAACAACAAGGCTCTATGGCTCTTTTGATTCGTATTGCGGCAGGTGGGTTGCTGCATTGCTTGTTGGTTGAGTTTCATTCAGGGTCCTGATGAGATCTTATTCGTGCGGATTTGTATTGTACTGTACATCCATGAGTAGACCCGGACATACCCATTGCGGCACTAGAACACCCATCGAACCCACAGAAAACTTCTGGGTCAAGTCAACCCCTAAAGAACCAACAAAACATATCAACAAAATGAAGCCCACGAACCCGAATGCACACACGTATGCAAACACAAACGCCAAACGTTGTTGGACACTCTTGCTATCTCTGGCTTAACACTCTTCAAAGCACTTCAAAGACACTCTTCAAGAACATTCTGGGGTGACACTAATCTCGGACACGCTTTCGCCACACTTTTGTAGAGACTCTTGTGTCACACATCTGACACGCACCTGTGCAACACTCTTGCTGAACACTCTCTGGTGAGACACTCCTCCAGGACACTCTTGTTGCACACTCTTGCTGGACATTGCTTAAATGTATGACACCTTTGGAGGACGCTCTTGTTGCACACCCTTGCTGGACCTAGCTTTAATGTATAACATCTTTGGAAGACGCTCTTGTAGCGCACTCCAATAGGAAACTCCTGTAAGATAGTGTTTCTGGGCGCTCTTGGCGCAACACCTTTGGAGGACACTGTTTTCAAAACGAGCATGTCGTACGAGACTTCCTCGAGAAGTGACGCGTCGAGTCCTCAAAATGAGCATTTCGTTCCACACCTCCTGCAGAGTGACGCGCACATGACACGAAAAAGGTTAAACATGTGCATTTCGTGTGAGGTCACACGTCAAGTCTCCCAAACTTTGGTTTCTGCCCCATTATTGTGAATCGAACCAGGATCCCTCTCCAGTTCAAGTTTGCAAGGAATCATCACCCAGATGAATCAGGTCACCCGAGCAGCTGAATTGAATTTATCTAGATTTCCTCAAAAAGTGAAGCAGGAAGTCTCATCAGAGCAAACACATCACGCAGCCCTGCCAAGCAGTTCTGCAACCAAACAGCCTCCCAGTACCTCCAACACACACAAAGCAATGCGCCTGCCAGGAAAAGTGACTTGGCCACACCTAGATCAATAGCAATTCTCACCGCACCAGACATTAGGAATGATGACACGTTGCTGCTTCACCCAGATGCCTGAAAACCACAATTTTACTTGAGACTTGTCAGGAAGGAGCAGCTTCGAGGCAAGCACTTCGACTTCAAGAGCAAATCCCAAGCGACATTCAACACATCCAAAAGACCACCCTGCGAACGCCAATCCCAATAGCAGGCGAGGCAAAGTGCTGACCTCGCAAGACACTGAACCTGGGCGGCTAAATCATCGGTCCTGCACACTTAGAGCATTTAAGGATATTTTAGGCTTCTCATGGCTTCGGTAATAATATGATTGTCTATATAATATTGTCTACTATGTTATTCTACATGAACCTGATACTTTGTGCTTCCATCCAAGACCTTCAAAAGCTTCTCGCAACGGAAGGGCTTGACGGTTGCGAACATGAAAGCAAAGTCGCTCAAACAAGGCTCTATACCCCCAGACCCCCAGAGTTACTGTAAACGACAATCCTTCATTACGCATTCGGGACAAACAGAAACAACAACCCATGATCAATATGAATCACTTCATGAATCTAAAACCAGACGGTCCGACCGACGCATCTACCACACCTGGTGACCACCCGGTCTACCCGGACGCCACCGGGTCCAAGACGCTGACCGAGGTGCAGACGAGCTGCGGCACGACCAGACGCTGCGCTGCACGGCCAAGGGCACGGTGCGCAAGGTGCTCCCGAGCCTCGGTCGGGACACGCGGTGACGTGGCGGTTGGAAGATCGGAGAGACGCGTGTTTGGGAAAAAAGGACGCAAACGAAAAGACTGGAATGATTCAGAATGATCCGAAAGTGTGGACATATCAGAGTATATAGAGGTCGCGTCGACAATCAACATCAATCAACCATGGATAGTTTAAGTCATGAAAGCACGGGTGTTTCAGGATTTGATTCTAAGGTCGGGAGAGGTTGACGGTATTTGCACGGTTTTACCTTGACTGTCCACGACGGTGTCCACTTGGTAGTGATGCATGGATTGTTTTTGATAGACCCGTGGACCCTTTGCGGCAAGTACTTAGAAAGGTGATTGGAATCCAAAGCAAACACTCCCCTAACGGTTATAGTGAGCCCAAGCAGTTAACCACTCAGAACTTCCCAGTTGTAATGACTGGTGGGTTTGTGAAGATCCTGCAATTTGGTTTGTAGATCACATCCATATTACGACTGATGGAGAGGAAGTGGCATCAGGTGGCAGTTGATATCCTCCTTGATTCGGTTGATTGGTGTAGGATTTTGTCCGCCAACACTGATGAGAGCCTATACTGATTCGCATTGATCCTCAAACAATCACTACGAGCAGTGTATGTGTCTTTATTACTCTACCAAAGGTGTGTCAGGTAGGTACTGGAAAGAATCCGACTGCAGCACACTTGTGGGTGATTCTGATGGTTGATGATTTTGCTTTGATTGAATCACGTGATTTGTTGGATCAGATTCAGTTCTTTCTTTCTAGAGCTAGATGATTGCTGGCTGCTTTTGTGCGACATCTCCGTGCATTGTGTTAACAGATTTGGATATAAAATGATATACTGTAAATCAGTGCACATCCCAGTCGAAGCGGTTTTCAGGGATAAGTTCTGGGATTCTTTTGCCGTTACAACAATGTGTTCAGCGCCAGATTGGGGGAAAATGGTACCACACGGCACCACGGATATTTGTCATTTGTTCACCCATGTTTGGTACTTTTGAACCTTGCCCCTCTCCTCTTCTTCTCTGCCAAGGAATGTGGACGTTGGGGAAACCTTGCTGCCTGATCTGGGAGTGGCCATCATTGCGTTTCCCATTGTGAGACCACCGGGGTTGGTGGAGAGGCCTCAGAAATATGCATCTTGGCTGCAGTTGCGAAGTGCTCCAGAAAGTTTGGGGGTGCTGGTACTGCTCAGCGGCGTTTGTTTGGTAAAACGCCACGATGACAGGCTAGCCTGCGTCTGCGTTGTATTGTTTCGAGATGTTTCGAGCGATTGCCTTGCGGTATACTGCAGCATACTTCTGATTGGAGACACAAAAGTTAGATAACAGTCTTTTCCAAAAGGGATAGGGATGACGACCCTGGCAAGCCCTGTGAAAAGTGCTAAGACTGTAACGATCCTTTGAGACTGGAGAAGATTCGATCCAGTTTGGGTGTGAAGTTGGAAACGCTCGCAACGCCCAGGACTTTTTTGTGGTCACAGAGCGCACATACCGATTCAATCTTTTCCAGGCTTTGCCGCCGAGTGTGGTCGAAAGGGAACGAACACATATCCGAAAGAGGGGCAGATCTGAGCAGATTCTTTTTTGAACAATGGCGGTTTTGGATCGGTGAAACATGGTGAAACTGTAGACAAGCCAACAAAATCTGGGCTTATGTTACGTTGAGTAGCTGGGCGGCCATTTGATGTTGCCTAGGTAGGATCTGAGGATGTATAATTGAATCTCCCAAGCCAGAGCCAGAATAGGGTCACTGAGTGAGATTCGCTTTGAGTTGTGTATCTCTTTTACTTTCTACCTCATTGAGTAGTGTGTTTATTCCAAAACATTGATATGTTCAGAAGCCCAGCCCAGCATCCCATCCCACTCTCGCTCCCGCTCAGAGTCGCTCAGAGTCGCCGGCATCTCCGCAGGTTCACCCGGGTGAGCACGTGGTGATGGGCCAGGCGCTCTTCGATGGAAAGCCGGTGATAGGAGCGCCGGGGACTACGCGTTCGCGTTCGCGTTTGGCGCGTCGTTTGGAAGGAGGAGGCGCAGAAGTGCCCTGTTTTGGACATTGGTGAAGCTATGTTAACCTGTGCTTTTTGGTGCCTGGTGACAGAAGATACGACATATGGAGCATACGTTCAGATGCTGAAGAAGCACACAGTTCTATTGCCAACAGCCATGTTAGCGGCATGGCCAATCTGCCATGATTTGCCATGTCACAGCCAGTTGAGCTTCGCAGGAGAAGAATTGGGCGAGTCAGTGAGCATCAAGGCCAATAGTTCTGGACATGTGGAGATGGTCCTCGAGTGCCTTGACTGCCTTGTGCACTAAACAGCTGACACACTGACAGAGCCTGCTCGCAAAGGTTTTGAGCATGATGGTTGGGGTGGTACCTAGGTGCTTTGTATCTATGTGATATAAGCATCAAGAACGTTTGGCTGACATTATCGGCTGACAATTACTGTAATCTTCAGATAGACGATATCAACGACTATATATATACATAAGTTACATAAGTAATTGCACTCATGTGTAACTATATATATATAGTACGGTTTTGCTTCAACTTTTAAATGTTTTACCAGCAGTATGTTCGTTACAATGGTGGTGTACATATCCAATTCCATGGACATTCTGCCGCTGGTGCTTTGTTTGGTCTGGTTGAGATGAGCCCACACAATCGCTCCATGTCGGAAGGAGGATCTTGAAGAGCTTCCTCAAACACTTATTCAAGTCTGTTGGACACACTTACAGAAGCGGCCATGCCAGAAACTACTGGGGCATTGGTCAGGGTGGCATTAACATGGTGATAGAATCTGTCACACTCTCAGACATGCTGGAGAAGAAAAGACAGCAGACACATTAAACTGTTGACCATTAGACATGTACATAATCATTAGATCCGGAATCCATCTCACCACATCTCTTCTGATCGCACAGGACGTTGCATCCCAACTACTTCGTCCTAAAGGATGTGGCGGTGATGCTGATTCGGCCCAAGGTCCTTTGGCCTCCTGGGATACAGGCTGAAAGCCCTCAGGACCTCGCGACCCGAACTCGCAGCTTTCTGCTTTGCACCGTGCCCCCGCGCCCAGCGCGCCTGTACTGTGCGTGCGAGGTCATCGCGCACGACCTCGCGCCGTCTCCGGCGCGACGGACGTCAATGTCGCAGGATCACATCCTCACAACGGATCGCGTCTTGGTTTTCTTGGAATGGAAGGCAGGCGGGTCGGATGTACCGGCACGGCTCGTGCGAAAAGTGACTCCCCTTTTGGAGGTGAGGTTCGCTTTTGGAGCACAATATCAAGCCTGAGTCGTATTACAGGGCTGATGTATGGAAGGATAGCTACTGTAGTTTGGGACTCTTCAAGAGTAATCGAGAGGATGCAAATATATGTGAAATTCCGAAACTATACGAAGATGATGATCATGATTTGATGGAAGTGTTCATTCATGATTCATGATATTTTGTACTACTGGATTGTTGGCTTAAGTAAGAACATGATTATATAAATAATGACAGATAAATACCCCGATACAACCACCAATAAACACATTAGCAGTGTAAGCAAGCTATGTATATTGTAAGATTGATTTGTCATTGTAGCATATATAGTCAATTGCAATAGAATATTGCCTAAAAGACATGTTGTTTGTCCGTTTATTTTGCTATTGTAGTTTATGTTCTTCATGACACATGCGCGGAGGTAGACTTGCATCAGTGACAGGGGAGAGAGCTAGTTGTTTGAGACCTCGCATGTTAATTGAAGTAGAACGGACATATGACAATTAAAAAGCGTCTCAGTGTGCTAGAGGAGCTCCCGATTTTGTGCACACGCTTTCCCTATTTGACAAGTATGCCTTCCATGAGCCCAATTTTACTGGACGTGGCCACACATGAACCAGTTCTTCATAAAAGACCCGCTTGAAAGCGCGTCGGGATGGCTATCGATGCATTGGAGGCTCACATTGACGATGAAGTGAGTCCGGGCGACCCTCTCATGCTCGCGCAAGACTGGGGATTTTTTGGTTGCACTTGGTGGGATGGAGAGAATTTTTGTAACCCTAATTGCTAATGGCAAGGATCTTGGCAGGCGTTGATCTTCTACAGCTCTCTTTCGGAACACCTTGCTTGGATAAGGGCCTTTCAATGAAATCATGTTGGAAAACGGACCTGGCGGCCTAGCCGGTTTGATGATAGAGATTGGATAAGTTCTCTCATTGGCCAGTTGAAGTCCACTCTACCGGCTACCATTTGTTTGGGTGCCAAAAGTCGGTGCTAAGGAGTTTATACAAAATGGCAACACTAGTTTTGTGATGATAGATTTTATAATTCTAGTTTAAAAGCAAATTATGAAGCGGCACGCACGAGAATACTCTAAAACACAAGCTAGGCGCTAGCGTGGCGCTTGTGGCGCGCCAGTGCTTTTTTGCTAAAAGCCAGTTGCTTGGACCACATGTTTAATCTGTGATGTGCAGTTTCATAGGGCTAGCAGGAGCAAGGACACAACTTCAAATGGTTGGCATGTCGCACTAGCAGTCCCCTGTTCCTTCTCTACGTACCAATTACTTCCCTCAGTGCAAGAAAGAGGTTTCTGTTGCACGAATACCGAGACGACCGAGGTTTCAATGTCCTCAGTTGTTCGAACTGCCAAGGTTCTGGAAAGCCACACGTGCTCCATGCCTCTGTGAAAGGCCTTCTCAGCCACCCAAGGCCGCTTCTTCGACACGTGGCCGCCGGTGGTTTGTACGTAGTTGTACCGACATCTCCCGACGGTCTCATTCTGTTTGTGGGTCCCTGGTTTCAGACTCCACCAACTAGAGGTGCTGTTTGCATTGACGTGTGAGCTGATGAGTTGCTGTGAGCTGATGTCGTTTTGCAAGTTTGCAAGTGTTTGCTGCCTCTTCCCCGTTGCCCTGCTTGGGTCATGTTTCGGGCTGGAGGATGGCCATTATGACATAATATGTGAGGATGGAGATTCGGAGATAGATGGAGACTTGGTGATGTCACTAAGTTCAAGACCAAGTATGCTCCATTATGCTCGCCAATTTGGATGATGAGAGGGGTATCCTTGAGCACTTGCTCGAGTGGGTGGGGAACTCACTTTAAGGACCAGTCCACCAGCAATATGTATGAGCTTCAACAGGATTACGACTTGAGCTTTCAAGCATTCAAGTACCACAACTTTCTCAGCCATGACTGGAAAACTTCGAGATGACTGCCGACTGGGTGTTGCAAACAATGTTTTCGCTACTGTACGTATTTGCGAACAAGCGTTGACCCATATTTCTGGGACGTCTTCCAACCACCAACCCGTCGAGGTGCTTGGATTTGGCTTGCTTAGATTTGCTTCTGTATTCTTTAGGACATCGCTGGACAAACCATCACTATCCAACCAGCAGGGCCACTTTAGCCGGCAGGATCATACTGTTGTATATCAGCGCAACTGGCGCCTTCTTTCATAACGCATCAGGAGCAAGTCATATTTGTTCAGAGATTGCTAGAAGTAGGAAGACCGGAGCCACAAATATCACAAATGGTCATTAATATGATGCTTTTCCACATGTTTGCTTCATTATACCAACCTTGCGATGCCCAGTAGTTGCGGCCGTTCGCCCACTTCATGTTCCATCAGTGTGGTGTGTATGTGTGTGTGGTTCAGTGTCTATCTCTATCACCACCCAAACCGCTACCGGTTGCACGTCACCGGCGATCGCCTGCTGCGAGGTTTATGGAGAAGGGTCAGATCATCGAAATGGGTGTGGGAGTCGCGAGGATCACTGTGGAGGCGAGAGACATCGAAATCTCACGGTGATGTGAAAACCACATGGGGGGAACCTGAAACGAACGGCCACCGCATAGTGCTGCGATGCCGAAGGAGATTACAAAATGGAGTTTGCAAAAAAAGCCGACTTATTTTCAGACGAGTCCGTTTACCTATAGTTGTTTTGGATTGTTTTGGTTCAATCACCACCTAAACACTTAAGGAAGGTCAAGTTGCAGAATGTCGCTGGGCGCCGACACTCGTCCACTTTGCTCTTGCATTTCGTCGGATAACATGGCGGCAATCAGACTTATCATGGCATCCGGCCTCATTTAGATGTGGAGCAACTCCTACAATTTCCCAGCTATTCTGCGCGCTTTTGGTGTGGGTTTCTGACCCCTCATACACTACAGGGATGGGTTCTTTTGATTGCCAATGAGCTAAGCCGGTCCAGGTGATTTTCGACAAGTACTGATGGTATCATCATGCAACGTGTTGCGGGCAAGATGACGATCATTTTGGCACATTTTCCAGCAGACGTTCAATGACATAGCAAGATAGTTTGACCGTTTGATGTCCAAATGCATGACATAGCAGGCAGCTTGTCCCCCCGTTCCACATACCATCTGACATGTGGTACCCCTTTTTGGGGTAAGCATGTTTGTGTGGGTGCCAGTCGATTGAGGGACCGCACCGGTTCAGTGTGACAGGTGACCACAACTTCTTACAATGCCAGTGCAGCGCAGATTCAGGGAAGCGAGGACTGGTTTTCGTTCCGGGGGCTATCATGCAGTCTTTGTTCCGGGGGCTCTCATGCCATAGGTAAAACTTGTATAGAGTCTGAGTTGGAGGGTGAGAATTTGCGCTGGGAACTCCTAACAATTGCCATGCATGCTCTTCGAATCTCTAGAGTTATATACTTGAAGTGCTCAAGGGTTATTTCTTGCACTTTGCTGCTATGTATAGACTTGGGGATGACTCACAGTGAGTAGTTTGGGTGTTTTGCTTACTGTATTTCTGCTGTCCCTGCTTATACCCTTAATTGCACAAGCAGTAGTTAGTGGTACCCAAAGAGATCACACAGCGAATCCAACATTCGTAGCTGTTCTATCCATTTATATCCATATTTATATAGTCAATTTTAAACTATTTGATCCACTCATGCCCGCTATACCCTGGCTTTGAGGACTCCTTCAACCCTTTTCTTTGGCTCTCCATCGGTGCCGGTGTCGTCATAGGGACACTTGGACAGCCAAGATGCATACAGTGAGATACCCGTAGCTTCTTGCTACTAGTAGCGATGCACCTTGTTACTAGTAGCTATTTGGCTATTTGTTACTAGTAGTAGTAGTAGTCGTAGTGGTAGTGGTAGTGGTAGTCGTAGTCGTAGTCGTAGTAGTAGAGTGGTAGAGGTAGTGGTAGTGGTAGTGGTAGAAGTAGTGGTAGTCGTAGTCGTAGTCGTAGTCGTAGTCGTCGTAGTCGTCGTAGTGGTAGTGGTAGTGGTAGT